CTGCTGCTTGAAGCATGCTTGCACTTCGAGCATTACTCGAGTTTGATTCTGTAATTCAGGTTTGGGTAGGGTTTAGGTTAGGGTTTAGGATTAAAGAGAGCTTGGATTACAAGTAGGGCTCGCACTGAACTTGAGCTTGCGACTGCACCTGTGTAGCCTGTTGCTTCGAGATGCCGTGCCCATCCTGCAGTGGTTGTGAAAGAAGTTGCTGCTGAGCGTCAACCCAGATGGATGCGCCTCCGCGTTACACTGCGGCGGCTGTCCACATCTTCGCTGTGCTTCCAGCTTCACCACCCTCCGCATTTTGCATTTGTGTTGCGCTGTTCTCGCTCAGACAGCTTCAGGCCATCAAGACTCATAAAGAAGGCCATGATGGGCAAAGCAGCGGGGCAAGCCAGCAGATCGCTAGAGCACTTTGGACGCTTCCTGCGCAGTTTCGGGATAAGCTGGCGGATTTAGGGCAAACCATGGCTAACGTTGCCCAAGATCCAACTTTTATGGCGATGTGCCGCAGTGACGTTTTTGGGGAAGCTCCCTGTTGGCTTCCGCCCCATCAGCTTGTGCATCCGGTGCATTGAAGCCAAATTGTTGTCGCGCTCGAGTGGTCGGATCAACGCTTCATTCGTTGATTGTCGGACCCTCGATGAGATATGCGCAAGACCTTCTGTCGTGTATCCTCGTGGCCTACCAAGAGCGATGGAAAAGCTGATCCAGCAAGCGCTTTTTGCGCCAAAGTTCGTCGGAGGCTGTGGGAGGTGGACAGGAGGAGGAGGACGAGGAGGAGGAGGAGGAGGTGCTTCTGCGAGCTGTTGTCGCCTTGGCTGGCTTTTGAGGCATGGAGTGCAGAATGGATTTGTGGTGCATGGCCGTTTTGTCGGGACCCATCGATTTGGTGGAAGCTCTTCCAGACTTTCTGGGGCGTGGAGGCGGCGCTGTGCAAGGTGGACTTCGGCATGGTTTGCTGGTGATCGTGATGATGGTTGCTCACGCCAACATTGCTCATGCTGGATTCTGCTCAGGTTGGCGCAGGCTGGAGCGTGGGGAGCCAGTTTGGAGTTTGGAATTGGCAGCAATTGCCAAGATGACGTTGCGGGTGTTCAATCCTTCAGAGACCGGTCAGACGACTTGTGTTTGCTTGAGGAACCACCACTACCATGCTCTCGTGACTGACCGCGGGCGCGTCCCTTCAGGCTGCGCGAGCATGCTTGGTGTCTGCACGATCCTTGCGTTCGGTGGCATTCGGTGGCGTCGCCTGGTGGCCGGGGTGCCAAGAGCACTCTTGCGGCCGTACGCAGGGGCCGGCGCCCAGCGTCTGACGGTTGTCGCGCAATCTGCCTGCTTGTCTGATGTCGTGTTCTTTAAAATTGCCTGACCCTCCGATGCCTCAGGCTGCTGATGGCAGCTGGCAGCATGTCGGCGTGTGCCCGTGGTAATATATGTGCCTGGGTGCTTCAGGAAGCTCCCTGTAGGTCGTGTTTTGCCAGGGCCGAGAAGTGTTGATTCGTCATGTTGTTTGCATGCTTCAGGCCCGAGAGCATCCCGACTGGAAATGCATATGTTGCTGGTTCGGCCTTCCTTAGTGGTACGAAAGCCAATCTCTCGAGGAGCGTCTTCTCTCAGGGTGTTCGGCAGCACCGGATGACAAAGCACCCCATCGCGCAGTGGAAGGCCATGAACATGTTTGCGAGCGACCGGGCCAATCGGGTTATTCTTTTTGAACAAGGGGCCCCCTTAAGGGGCCCCCCAGGTGACTTGACTGCAAAGGCTCATGCGTCTTCCGCTGGCCACACTTGGTCCCGCGACGAGCGTTGGTGTCTAAAGCTATGAAGTCCAAGCCCCGTGATTCGCATCTGCCATGCGCTTATGTGCAAGTACGGCCACCGCAACGCATCCCGCTGTATAATGAGAATAGCAGGGCAAGGGCGAAGGCACATGCTACTAAGAGTGTTTGATGTGCACGAAAATATTAAATGATGTGCCGGCGGGTGCTATTCAAACAACATTTAAATGGGTTGACACTGCCACTATGTCATTGTGCATCAAGCTGAAGCAGCTGCAGAGTTGTTAGTGAAAGCCGAGCAACTCCAAGTCGTGACATGATCTTGTACAGCCGGAGAGTGAGCCAACGTTTTTCTCAGTTGCCTCCTGAAGCCTGGCCACTCGCACCGTAGGTAGTTGCTGTTACGTGGACGCTATAAGCGCCGCTCTGGATCCAAAAGCAGTCTAAGGCAGGAAGTGGGGCAAAACATGGACGCTGGCCACAGTATTGCCTTGGACCATGCAGCAGTTGCGTATGCCTAGGATTGGAAGAGCGAAGCCTGCGGGCTCAAGGATCTGTAGAAGCTCGACCCACCGGTCTGTCCTCAACATGGAGGCCCAGGTTTAGGGCTTGTGACATTGGTTGATGCTTTCGCCTCTGCTTTTCAAAATTTTACTCGCTGTTTCAGTAGCCACTGAGCAGGTGGCATTCCTGGCACCAACTGGCAGTGCTCAGCCCTCAAGCAAACTTGTGTGTCAGTAGGTATGTATATATGTATATATATTTATTTATACACACGTAAATTTTTTATATATACATACATTTAATATGCATATATACATATATACATATATACATATATACATATATACATATATACATATATACATATATACATATACACATATACACATATACACACATACACATATACACAAATACACATATAGACATATACACATATACACATATAGACATATAGACATACAGACATATAGACATATAGACATATAGACATATAGACATATAGACATATATACATATATACATATATGCATTTATGCATTTAATGCATATATACACATATACATATATACATATATGCGTATATACATATATACATACATATATACATATTTAGATATACACATATACACATACATACATACATATATATATATATATACACATATGTAGGTGTGTGCGTGTGGCCGGGTTTGCGCGTTTCTCTCTTCGCCCCTCTCGTTTTCAGCTTCAATGAAGGCTGCGTTGGCCCTTGTAGGAGATGTGTGTCTTCCATTTGAGGAAATGTGGAACAAATATGCAAAATATTTAACCATTTAATTCAAGGCTGCGTAATTCTTTAATCTCTCTAAATCTTCTTGTCTCTTAAAACATGTATCTATGCATCTATCCATTTCTCTGTCTACCTGTCAATGTGCCCGTCCTTGTCCCGCTCCCGTTCCTCTCCCAATCCCAATCCTATTCCCTGCCCGTGTCCTTATCGCTATCTCTATCCCTATCGGAGGCCCTATCGCTATCCCTATCGCTATCCGTATCGTTATCACTATTGCAACCCTTATCCCTTTTATTTTTTTGTTCATCTGTCCCTGTATCTCAAATCGCAGTTATCTGCATCTTTCTCTCAATCTCTGTCTCTATATCTCTCTATCTCCATCTCCATTTCTATCGTTATCTCGATCTCCATCTCTATCGTTCGAAATCGCCATCGTTATGTCACCATCACCATCTCTGCCTCTATCCGATCCTAGCTCCAGCTCCAGCTCTATCTCTCTCTTGTTTTTCTCTCTGTCTCTGCCTCTCTCTCTCTTCCTCTCTCCCTCCGTCTCTGTCTCTCCCTGTCATTGTCTATCTCTAACTCCAGCTTTATTTCTATCTCTGCTCCATCTCAATCTCCATCTCTTTTTTGTATCTCTCTCTTTCTATCTCTCTCGCTCTGTCTCTCTCCGTCTCGGTCTCTGTCTATCTCTATCTCGATATCTATCTCTACCGCTACCTCTAACTTCGGCTTCGGCTCTAGCTCTTGCTCCACATCTATCTCTATCTCTATGTCTATCTCTATCTCCATCCCTGTCTCTGCCTCTGTCTCTTTCTTTCTCGCTCACTCTCTTCCCCTCGCACTCTCTCACCCTCTCGCTTTCTCGATCTCGGCTTATAACAAACCACTCGTCCGTAGAACATCGACCACCCAAGCTTGCGCGCAATCGTGTGAAGCTTTTGCTGTCGTCGGATGGGCTGGTACGCTGACAAACATGTAGGAAACTTCTTGCGCCAAGCAAAATCCACAGCTTCTAGGCTTTTGGCAAGGTGGACATTGTGTTGGAGTCTTGCATTTGGCTCTGGCAGAACAGTTTTCTATCGGAAACCCATGAGAAAAGGCAAACTTGCTGGAAGGGAGCTGAGCACATTGTGTGTGGGCATTTCTTCTGCAGCAACCGATGCCTGCAAAGCAAAAGAGACGGTAGGTTTTTCGGCTGCGCCAAGTTTATGGGGCGGAACCATTAACAAGGAACCATCATCTAATGGGTCGTGTGTTAAGGTGCCATTCCGGGTTGCTAAGGCATGATGGTGTTCGACACAACGGAGAGGAACATTCAGTTTGATCATCTTCGTGGAGGTCCATTGGTTTCAAGATGATTAAGTTTCATGCATTCGCCCCGTCCAAAAAATGCTATGAGCAACTTTTCAGAGGAGCGAGCAAATCCCAGCAGACGAGAGGCTGTCAAGCCGTGCAGGCAACAAAGTATTTTGACCAGTACTTGAACAAGAGCGACTTTTCCAAGAAAGAGGAAGCTTTGCGGGAAGAACGGGGTCGGTTCTTCGAACAACATAGTGCCAGAGTCTTCGGATCGGACACCAAAAATCACGAGCCATCTGGGGCTGAGCCCAGCATGGTGGACACATTGCCTTTGTGCAATGTTCGCGGGCCAAGAAAAAGCTGCTTCAAGGGAATGTATGTGTCTCGCAGGAAGAATGGTTTCTTTCTCCCATTCTTTTGCTGAAAACGTGGTTGGCAGAGAAGATGCCGTTCTCTTATGGATACGGTGGCTTGAAGACAAAATAGGTGCCCCTGTATTGGGGTGCACTGCGCATATGTTAGTTGCCATTACATCAGCACATTTGGACTCATGTTCATGAATGTGCGCACGAGAAGATGTCCATATGCTGCTCTGTTTCACAAGCACCTACATGTCTGGGTTGTTTCAAGCATGTTTATCAGGCGGGCCAGGCCGTCTCCGTGCCAAAGCAGACCGCACAGCTTCCAGGAGTTGATGGCAACACGTACGCAAAGGGAGCCACTGCAGACTGCGCGAGGTGAGAGCATGTCTCCTTTGCTGTGCACGTGCAGGACAGCAGCCTGCCGCTGGCTTCGGAGTGAAGATGGCAGCCGTCGCTTCGTGCGCAGCAGCGGCTGTTGGCTTGGCTACCAGCCGGAAGCGCTCCAAGACCGCGGCACGCTACACCACGCAGACGATCCTTCCCTCCCTCGCCTGGATCAAATCGGGCGTGAAGGCTTCCGAGCTGCAGCCCAAGCAGCTGAAAGCCCTGACGCTGGCCGGCAACGACGTGTTGATCGGCAAGACGGAGGCTGGGGCGCTCTTCTGCGTGGGCAACTTGTGCCCACACATCGGTACGCCCATGAGCGAGGGCGCCGACGTGATCGGCGACGTCATCGTCTGCCCTTTGCATGGATCCTCCTTCAAAGTGACCACAGGTGAGCTCCTGGATTGGTGCGTCTCCCCGCCTATCATTGGCCCCTTGACTGGACTGATCGTGGAGAAGAAGAACCTGCTGGTCTTCGAGGTGCGCCAGGGCGGCTTGCTGGGAACCGGCGATGTCGAGGTCCTCGTGGACACCAGTGCCAAGAAGGCCTACGAGGCCTGGTACTGGAAGGGCCTGCTGGATGCCCAGGGCAAGGACGACGGCACGTACTACTGAGCAGCCTCTTACTCTGTGCGAATGCACGTCAACAATGTGCACATCGCCTGATTTTCCACTAAGCTTAACAAGCACCAGTCTGGGTTGCAACACGCCTTGTTCCGTGAGACTCGGATCTTGCAGCATTGATGCTCAGAAAGCGTCCTTCGTTAGGTCCTGGCAACTTGGTGCCTTAGCGATGTGTCCCACGGAGGTTTGGGAACTTTGGCTACGTTGTAGCGGCTCAAGGCCGCAGAGCCCCGGAACCCGAAACCCTAAACTCACCGTTTGCAAGCCTTTCCGCTGAACAGTGGACTGTACTTACGTGTTGCTGCAGCCAGGAAGCTTCTTGTAGTTAAAGACGCCCAGCAGACATGGAAACGAGATGAGGGATCGAAGACACAGCAGAAAGGTTTTGCTGCATGCCTCTTTGTCTCTCAATCTGTATGTACATGCGTATTTACCAATGATAGACACATGGATAGGTCGACCGGACACTTAGAAGAGACAGAGAGAGAGACGCGAATCAGAACAGGATAGAACGCGCGAGAAACAACAACAAAAAGCTAGCTTGATGAATCTAGTGCGCATTGATGCCGAAAGAAGTTGAAAGGCAGTGTAGCCAGTGTACTTGCGCCCCGAACTGGTGCGATGTTCGTCAAGGTGCCTGGAGCCCGGGCAATGCAAGATCATTTTGCAGCTGTCGTAGGGAGATATCCTCACCAGTCGAAACTCGTGACCTCGTCTAAGATGTCGTGGTGTCAGTAAGGTGCATGAGGCGAACTTAGAAACAAGTCTTCTCGATGCTGTCGTAGTGGCGGCTAGGAGCCGTGTTCTGTTGTTGGGATGGACTTGGATTCGTTTCTCGAATGCTGGCGAATGTGCGACTAACATCGTTCTCTAAGGCTGCTGTAGACTATGCCAACAGACGGTGCCAATGCCCCCGCCTAAAGAGCTGCATTGTGCCATGCGATATCTACCTGCTTTCATGTGTTTGTACAGGGCTTGGCCCTGCATTGCCCTGCATAGCATGGGCAGTCTGCGCAACTAGGCCGTCCTTCCGACATTTCCGCCGACGCGACGAGTCCTGTGCAACTGGCTTTCTTATTCTCACAAAACCCTTTTGTTATTGACTCCGCACTATCCCAGCTGAGCCTCGGAGCTTCGCCAGCTGGGACCGGACTCCAAGCGGCCCTGCATTTCGAGTGCCCTGCGGTGCCTGGGCGCCAGCGCTCGGCGTCGGCCTCAGAGTTTCTGACACGGCGACGCTTCAACAGCGACGCCTCTAGCAGTTTAGCCGCCTTTGTGCATGCTTCAGCTTAGTTGTGAGGCCTCTCAGCGGAGCTCCAAGTTGAGTTGGCTTCAGTGGCGGCAGCAGTGGCGCGACGCGTGCTCCTGAGCTTCTGGAAGCGTTTTTCCGTGAGGTGTGAGGAGGACTCTGGCTTCGACACTTTTCCAAGAAAGGGGCCATCCTTGTCCCACACCAGCAGAGATTCTCAAGCCTGTGACTTCACGCGGCGCAAGGCTCTGCACAAACTCGGTTTGGCATGAGTCAGCAGGTGGCGTGCCTGCAGAGGTTGTGCACAAATCCTGCTGCCCAAGCGGGCAGGTCTGTGACGGGTTATCTGAATCGAAGCAAGCACTCAGCATGAGACTCGCAAAATGTCCCTCCTGCCTGGCGGCCCAGCATTCAAGCTCAGGTCGAAGCCCACAGGCTGCTGCAACCGGAACGTGCTGTTTGACGAAAGGGAGAGATTTTAGTAGCTTAGATGCACACAGCTTGCCTGCGGCTCAAGCAAGCTTGAAGGACGTATCCGCATCGCGGGTACCTGTTGCGACCTGACAAAGCCCAAGGATGGAGGAAATGTCTAGGGATCTGGTGAGCTGAAGCACACAACACGTCAGCGTACTTCTTTGCTCCGCACGAGCATCCTCGCTGCTCATCAGCTTTCCTTTGAGCCGCTTGCAGGGCCGCGCGGTGGCTCTGCTGCACTCATTCTCATGTCGTTCGCGTCCTCAGCCATAACATTGGAGGCCTTATGGCAGCCAATGCCGTGTTCCTGCACCATTATGCATCTGAACCGCCACCGGGCAGCTCTGCATCTGAGTTTCTCGGAAGAGTTTAGGGGAGAATCCCCTTGACCTTGGCGCACATAGTTTTCATTGGTCGAACAAGGTGGGCAGGAAATATGACGGCTGCGGATGACTTCAATGCCGCGGACTGAAAGTGCCACCGTGGAGCGAAGTGCATCTTGAACTCAGCATCCAGCCCTCCTTTGGGTGGTGGCGCCACAAGTACTTGTTTGCTTCATCTTTCTTGTCACACAAATAGCATGTCAAGGTGCAGGTGCAGGGAAGGTGGTTTGTTTTGCGGGAGTCGTGTCAGGATGTACACGATCCTTTCGGCTGAAAGGAAGGGCGAGAACAGAAGCATCGGATTTTTTCGTGTTGAGGCATGGCCCGCAGAGCCACAACAGTCTAGAGGGGGTTTGGAAAGATGGGGAGATGATGTTGCAACGACAATATGGTGCAACCCAAGACTCCTACGACACCTGGATCTTTCTCGTTCATGGACATCGGTTTCCCAATATCTGAAGTAACCTAAAGCACCTAAGTGATGTTGCAGCAAGGGAGTGCCAGTTTGGGTGCCGACTGTAGAAGCTGGTGCTGCTTGGGAATGCCAGCAGCCAGCACTAGCCGTCACTAGCCGACTAGCCGCGTGAGTGTTACGACGCTTTCGCTGGAGTGCGTCTTTCTGAGTGGCGACGTTTGTTCATGGAGTTCGCAAGTTTTCCGCGAGAGCCATGTGAGCAACGGCCTGTGCATTCAAAGGCGTGCATTTAGGCTGTCCGGGCTTTGCCATCTGACTTTTGCTTAAACTCCAAATGAATGACGCCTCCACTCTCCTGCCTGGGCTTTGTTGCATCGACTGAGATTCAATGATTGATGCTATTCTTCTTGGAGTCTTGTTTGGTTCGGCATGCTTCACCTCCCAGGCAACATAGGGTCATGATGCAAAACACAGCTGCTTTGTTCTTCAAGCGAACCTTCGGTCGATACTCTTGCCATTGTCGTTTGCTGGAGTCAGCTTTGGCCACTTTCGTCTTGCCTCGAACAGTGCTGGTAACAGATGCTGTTTGAGGCGACGACCTATGGAGGCGTGGGCCCAATTTGTCATGCACAGAGTCAGCAGAGTTTAGGACATGCGGGTCGGTGATGGGACAGAAAAAGCCAGCCGCCTTCAGTCGTCAAGGCGGCGTGTATGGACAGGATCGTGCTTTCCACAGCAACTTCTATCAGGCCATGGCGAGCAAGTTCCCACAATCTGCACACAGCGTGAGTGTGAGCTTTTGGTGTAGTTGTTGCAGGTCTCGCTAGACGGCGTTATTGTAGAGTCGCTGGTCGACACCTCCTCAGAAATAGTCTGGGTGTAGAGGAGTCTGCAAGGAGGTCTCAAGTCTTGCCTCCATGGGTCTCAGGCCATCGCTGTTCTCTCGCTGTGCCTGGGTGCTGTTTGTGTTCGCAAAGGCCATCAGTGAGTTGCAGACATACTGCGTGACAGCACTGTAGTCGGTTGAGTTCGTCGTGCAGCAAATGGCTTGACCAAACAGCACGTGCACTCTGGAGTTAATGCTGCGTGCCGACTGGGGCACTGTAAGTGTTGCACCACGTGACGCTCGCCTTTCTAAAACAGTCATCTGGTTGGGTCCTGTTCCACCCTCCTCAACAGGGTAACAAAAGCTGTGCACAAACTGTTCCACAAGGTGTTTTTCTTTTCTCCGTTCTTCCACGAGCACTGAGACCGCGACAGGATCTCTGCTGAAGTTGTTTCCAACCGAAACTCCTAACTCCAGCTGAGACGTGCTGTCTGCCTTCGCGCGCGAGAGAGGGCTTTTTTACCTTGCCCGAGACCGAGACCACTGAGTACAGCTCAACCCTCCTTCAATTTCTTAAAGCTCAACCAGAACGCCTGGAATGCTGCTAACTTGCCAGAGGCCCAAAGTAAGAGGCTCGTAGAAACCACCGCCTTCAAAAATTCCAAAAGACCAAAGTAGGTTTTCCAGCTTCTTGGCCCGACCCAGGGAAACGAAGAGTCGAAAAGCATTGAAGAACTCAACGAAAAGAGGCGGGGCTAAGAGGATGGAACGAACGTGCTCGCGGAAGACCTGACTCAGGGGAAACTCGAAAAGAGCGAGTTTAGTTGTGTCACCTAGATGTGCAGTCATCGCAGCAGGACGAGAACACGGTCCTCTTGGAAGTCTCCCAGGCATTGCCGCAGAGTCGAACTTTCCTCGCTGCTGTCAGGATGGGTTGGCCCGGCGAGGCTACAGCCAGGGGATCTGCGCGCTCTGACGACTTTCTCAGATGCATACCGCTGGGGCTCAGTGTGGTTTTGCCTTTCGTTGGTTGTGTTGCCATGGGCTGTGTTCAGATTCTGCAGTCGAGGAATAGCTGATCTGGAGCTCGAGCCGGATGTGCAGCTGGGATCATATGAGAAAGGGTATGGCACCTGACAGCCGGATGCATCAAGCATGCCGCTGTTGTAGGCAGGCTGATGTGGTCACATCAAGCAATAAGGTTGGGTTACGACATAGAGCCGTGGTGCTTCATCGGGCAGCGCATATCCGCAACAACCCCAATCTTGGAATGGAGTGACATGTTTTCTGGTTGCCTGGCTGCAGTTAGACGTGCACGGCAGGTGTCCTCGGTCCGAGGTCTCGCAGTAGCTTGGGTGCAAACCTGAAGTCTGACTGACGACGCGACGACTCGACGACTATGCATCTATGCCCTTCGTTCTTCTGGAGAGCGTCCTTTCTCCTTCCTCGCCATTCTTCTGGAGAGCGTCCTTTCTCCTTTCTCGCCATTCTCACGATGTTCAGGTGCCCCGCGGGGCTTCCTCGTGGACTTGGCCAAGGCCTTTCGTCCAAAGAAGCCGCAAAGAGCTCGCCTGCACATGCGATGTGCAGGGCATTGATATTGAGCTGCTCGCCTTCCAACACCGCGTGTGGTGACTTGCTTCAACAGTTGAGCGGATTCACTGTGTCGAAGACTGTGTGAGTGCTGGCCGAAACCGAGTGCCCGAGCATGATGCGAGGGTTGCGACTCAGGATAAACAAAGGCGAGTTTGCCTCTCATTTGCCGACCGTCTTAGTAGCACAAGAATGGCGGAGATGGGCCATGGAGGAGCTGAGCCGTCCGTTACTCTTGCCTACGCTGAATGATGCGTGCAGAGGATTCTTGTTGTTTCGGGTTTGCCACTCCCCACTTGTTTCTCAAATCATGCTCATGAAGCTGCGTTTGAGGGGCTGGATCTTACGTGGGAGTGGCTTCTTTCTGCTTTTTTTCCACTGGACTCGGACCCTTGCGATATGTCAGCCCAGCATTCATACTTACACCGAGACCCCGCTGTGACCTAGTCGACCTTTTCTTGAATTGTTTTGAGACCCTGGCAAGGCCAGTAGCAATTCGATACAGCCCGCTGCGAGGACCTCCAGAATGCCGTCTCGCCAGAGGAAGAATACCGAGATGCTTGATTCCACTTGTCAGCCTAAACCTCTATGTGCATGCAGCTTCAGCGTAGGTTTCATCGCAAGACGCTCTGGCATGAATGCAACCTTCAGCATATCAAGATCCGAGGAATCGATTCGGCGTCGCACTTCGGCCGATGCTTTCGTGTTCTGTCGGGGCAAGCATGAAGTTTGAGCATGGGAGCGGCAATATGTTTTCGGCTTCTGGGTTTACTTCATCCATTTCCAAGGAATCAAGTGGATTGATGACATCCGCGACCTTTCGCTTCTGGGGGTCGCGCAGCTCCGTGACACTCAGCCGCTGGAAGCAAAGCTGTGCGGAGATGCGAGTTTGACACATGCGTTGGTGTCAATCCCCCTTCATGCATAGCCTCCGTCACTTCCGGGTGCATTCTCGGCGCCGCTCAAAGAGCCGAGTAAAGAGCCGAGGTGTTGGGATGATTCGGACGATCTCTCTTTGCTCATCGCGCTGCTGAGCCAAATGAGCCAACGGCTGTCCGTGGTCTGCCTTTCAGTCGTCCTCACACCAAGGTTCAGAGAGCGCATCTTGCCGGAGCTGACTCTCGGATAGCACGGCCTTGCTTGCGTTGTGAAGGCAATAGCTGTTAGCTCCTGTGGGATGCCTAGTCGTGGTTGCAGCTCCAACACAAGATTCTTCTGCCGTTGGTGCGGTCACTGGAAAGACCGAACTGGAAACGATCTCCGTGCAAACGGCCTAACCGCACCAGAACTCGTGTGTCAGCGCCTCCGGCACTGTACAACGCTGCAGGAACCAAAGGTGCGGCCAACAAACACCGAAGGCACGCAGCAGAGGACAGGAACAGTGCTCAACCCTTGAATCAAAACGTATCCGCACCTGCTGAGGCACGAAATGGAAACCTGTCGAGAACCATGCGGTAATACCTGTCACAAGCTCGAGGGAAATTCGGGTGTTCTTGCTGCAGGCCTCTCGTGGTGCCTCCGACACTTGTCACTAGCAGCTCCTGCCCAGAACGATCCGACATTTTCGCAACAAAATCGGGAAGGAGAACACTCAGAGAGGTCTTTCGGCAGGGTAGACCTTGCAAATTAAGGTTGGTTGCACATGTCAACGCCTCCATCATGTAACGGTGCCACACTTCCGATGGCGCACTACGTTGGCCTCCCACCTTCAAAACTCCTGAAAAAGCTTCCTTTGTACTTGGGTTGCCGGAGCCAAACAAATGCCACAATTTCCCAAACTACAGGCAGGGCTCAGAAATATGTTGTCGAACGGAATCTACTGAACTGCAGCCCAGGAGGAAGTACTACAGCAATTGGTCAGTGTTCGAGATGATGCAGTCCTTCTCAATCGGGACTGGTGATGCAACTTAGCGGCATTGGCGACGTCATGCGACGTCGAATCGGAGACCCACTTGTTGGTGTGGCTGCCGCAGTGAGATTGGTTCGGCTAAGTGCCCTCTGGGGTTGTGATTGTTGGTAAGGTCAAGGTGACTCCAAACCTGTAAGTGTGACGTTGAAAGTCGAAGTGCACGGGTGAGGTGGTCTCCTACTTCACACAGACCCTGCGCAACACCATGCGGTTTCTGGAGAAGGTTTTCTGCACATATGAGCTGCGCCTGAAGAATCTGCAGCTTCCTCGCAAGAAGCCTACCAAGCTCAGATTCAGAGCGTAGTGCAGGGTCATGTGGGGGGCTGATCTGCAGCACCATCAGAAAAAATAGAAGCTGTCTGTGTTTGCTTAGCTCAGAAGAGCATCGTGTAAGTGCAGTCCTCGGTTGCGTCAGGCAAGGAAAGGCAGAGGATCAGAAACACCTGCCACTCGCCTGCAGCTGTTATGGGAGCTGCTTCCTCGAGACGGCATTCTGTCAGATGATTCAGGGTCGACCGCAATGTGCTGGAGTTCTGCGAGTATGCTGGCCTGTTCAACAGCAGCTTTCCGCAGAATTTCCGCAGCAAGTTCTTCGATCCGGAGCGAAGACCAATCCGTGGTTTGTCATGGTTTGTCCACAACAGACAAGTCCGTTTGTTGTCTTTCAGGAGCAACTGAAGCAGCTAGAGGCGGAGGTTCCGGTGTTCTTGCAGCGGCACGGGTGGAGCGGGATATCTCATTTCGAGCCATCTGAAGCTCCTGTATCAACCAATAAGAGTTTTAGTCTTGCTGCAACGACTTATGGGTGTGAAGAGGTGAACAAATCCTCGGCTTCGCCACCCTCGACTTTCCGCAAAGCCCCTTGGCCGCCTGGGTCACGCCGCTGCCAGAACCACAAAAACAGCGACACAGCCGCTGAAGCAAAGTGTGGGTCACTCTCTTGCAAGTCTGAGCCATCCCCTTCAGACAATCTGCAAGTGGTCTATACTCGCGTAGATTCGTGTCTCAGGTCAGGAACCATCCCGAGGCCAGGCAGGGTGCAAACGTCAGCTGAGATATCCAAGAGCGGCTTTAGAGATTCTCTGCCGATGGCATCGTTCTCGGTGCAACAAAAATGCTGCTGGAAGAAGTGTATGGCTTGAGTGATTAGAATTCGATTGCAGACAGGAGATGGCGGACGTCGAGAAGGATCACGTGAAAGCGATGCAGAGGGAGTACTTTCCCTCGCAGCTGCTTGGCAGATGGCATTTGCCGAGAGTGCTTGCAGCTTGAGCAGCTCGATGAGGGCACTGGGCAAGTACCTCTTTGTTCCCGTAAAAATCGACATCAAGATCGGCAGTTGCAATTTAGCAGCCGGAAACGAGCACGCAAACAGTGCTTCAGCATCTTCCTCCCGAAGGGCGACTGGTTCCCGGAGGTAAAAAAACCCACATTGTCGTAAATGGGCAGCTAGGACGGTTCCGGTTGTGTGAAACGGATGCTTTTCCTGCAGTGTGAGTGTTGCATCCGGTTACCATCAGGAGTTGCAAGCCCAAATCCGCAGAAGGAGTGACCCATCCAAAATGCCAATGAATCTCCGACAAGTTCGAACGCCTGAGCACCAAGAGTGCGAGCCAGACGGAGGCACTGAGAGTCTTTACATTCGAACCAAGCTTCCAGTCTTGCTTGGGTGACTGAAAGCTGGGATTAGTAATCACGAGCTGTTCTCGCAATGGAGCCGGTGAACGAGGCACGAGACCCTTACGAGGTAGTAGATGCAGATGAGTTCAGGGGGTAAGCTGGCTATGCCCTTATGTGTTTGTCTCCAGGTTTGGCTTGAAGGAGCACCAGGATGAGTTCTTGGAGATGCTGCGCCACTGTCACTTGCCCGGTTGTGCGGACTATGGGAGTAGGCTGGATGGTAGGTAGCCCAGCGTTGCACTGCTCGCGAAGTAGGACACATCTTTCCTCGGCAAGCCGCTAAGATGTGGTCCTCTTGCGGCACTGTTATGTGCTTCTCGATTTGATCTTGCTGCTGGCGAGCATTCAGGGCTTCGCAAGCTGCTCGGCTGTGAATTCGGTGAAGCTTCCAAATCTCTTGCAAGTAGTGGCTCGGTTCGATTCTCTCGGAGGACTTGGTGGAACCAATCTGCTGACCGATCTCGTCATGAGCTCAGATTGAGTTGCGTGTGGGGAAGATTTTTGGACAGTCCATGCTACTGGCTTCATGGTTTCTGTTTCTAAACACCTCTGACGGACCAATGGAGGTGAGCAAGGCTCATGGCCAAAGCGTCATGAGCTTTGCGAAAGACGAAGTTGGGTGCTCAACAGCAGAAGTTTGATGTAGCCCATATCCGGAAGTGCCTGGTGATCTTTGACAATTTGCTCTGCGCCGACTCTACGCAGCTCGTTATCAGGTGTCGGAGGTGAAGCAGAACCTTGTCCAGATTGCAGACATCGCTCAAGGTTGGGTCTGACGCTGCATGATGGCAGCAACTTGCAGCATGTCCAAGGTGGGTGGTCAAATTTCCGGAGGCAGCGGAGAGACAGTGCATGGTCAAACAAAAGCCGCTCTATCAGCATTGACACTGGAGTGGGGCCGTGAATGCTGTTCTGCGGGGGCCTCTCAGGTCCCTTGGACAATGTGCGCATGTCCATCAACTTGATGGACAGGGGCAGCTAGGGCAGCTAGGGCACGGGGCACCGGGTGCGGCACCATTCTACACCAGTCTTCGACGTTTTCCGTTTCTTTCGTGCCGTGTCTCGAGCATTCTCGAGCCGCAGTTCTTGTTTGCGATCCTCAACCGATTTCATCCGTGTGGAGACAGACCTTGATTTCTAGTTCGCGACGCAAGTCACCTATCATTTCGTGCTGCAGAAAAGATTGCTTCTCTGAAACTGCCTGGCCACAGCAGAGCCATGGTTTGTTAGTTTTTGTGCAATGACGGCGTTGCGAGCACAAACCACGCGGTGAGCGCATGCAGCGAACACACTGGTGTTGAGTGAGTGTGTGTGCAGCCGGCGGGCGCACGTCATTGGCAGCACAACACAAAGAACGTCTCGGCCTCAACGTCCCACACCTCCCACCCCCTTCTTACAATCCCACTGTGTGGCCCCTGGAGCGGGCAGTGCTTTTCGGCCCCTGGCGTGGTTGTGTTTACAGGGGCATGTGCTCGGTTGTAGCCCCATGTGGCTTTGTAGGTTCCGAAAGGGGATGGGCCAGCAAGCCGGACCGCCCTGTTGTCTGGCGGTGTGTGCCTTGAACTGAAGGTGGGTTGATGCAAAGAGTGGTCAGCTTTTGCATGTCCGATCATTAATTGTTGTAATGCAAAAATCAGTGAAGATCAGGAGAAATGGGCAGAACTACCACCGGTGGCTATTTCCCGAAACCATGTTTCGAGTTCTTCCATGCTTGCGTTGCTGTGCTACCGAATTCCCAGTGCAGGACACCGTCGAAAGGACCCACGACAATGCCGTCCACAAGATCGGAGTTCTGAAACTTGTATTGCAAAGTTGATGTGTCAAGGAATAAAATCACAGTTGAGGCTTCGAGGGCTTCAGGATGCTTTAGGATCCCAGAGCCAGTTCTTCTTCGTCAGCTTTCCCGCAGTACATTCTGTTGCGAGGAAAGCGCAAATTGCTAAAGCTCGTGGTGGTGGCGACCCATCGACGCTCGGAGTTGAGATTCAGGGCATTGGCATGTTCCACAAGGGCCAATTCCCAACATATCAGGGCTAAGAGGCTTAGGGCCCAAGGGTCCTTGCAACTTTCGATGTGCCTCGCTCCAGGAGAGAACTCTCGGCGGAGGTGCAGCTCCTTGGCTCTTCTTGGTAGTACGTGGATGTGAAACTGGAAGGCAATGCTGTGGTTGGTACAAGCCCGGCAACGTGGGAAGGTGTGCTGCACTTTTTGCTGTGACCTGTGGCCTACGTTTGTCATATGGTGTTCAAATCTCAAGGTACAGGGGTCATTATTGTTCATGTTTATAAGTTTGGATTGAGTTGCTGATAGCTAACAAGCCGTACGACGAAGATTCAGCTGAGGTTTTATCAGAAGCCGCTGGGTCGCAATGAGTGAAGAGCCAACAGCCATCCGGTTGTGTCATGACGACTGTTGCAGCCTCTGGGATATGCTGACGTGGCAGTCTGAGGTTCTGGGATCTTTTGGTCAAGAAGCATAACGTGCCCTCCGACGATGTCGTGTTCATCTGAAGCAAGGCGGTTAATTGAAATGCTGGAAGTTTGCTCTCATGAACTGCATTGCATAGACGAAGAAAAGTGCAGGTCCGAATCGGGACTTGATGATGCTGTGTTGACGGGGGCATGAAGCAGTGCCCTCTGCCTGTACATATGTCGCGGTTTAGGTTACATGTTTGAGCGGCCGAGCCTTGTTTTGGTCTCGCATGTCAAATTTGTCACACATCAGATCGCCTCAAAGAAGGGCAGCTTACTCTGCTGAAGAGCAGTGGAGAATTTCAGCTAGGCTTCTGATGCCCGTGAACCATATAGCTGCCTGACATCACCCATGTCACATCGCCGCTGGTTAAAGGGATGATGGTGCCTCGAGGGTCGAGCTCACCGAGCTTCAGACTCGTGCATGCTGTGGCACTGGCTTTTCGCAGGACCTTCACCTGCTCCTGCGCTGCGGCCTGAGACACTAGCTTCTCGGGCGGTGTGCAACCAGGTGAGAAGGTGCTTCCATGCACTGATGCACCGAACCCTTCGCACCGATGGGCCATCAAGTCGGCGTTTGCACATGGTCTGCACATCAGCAAGGTGGAGCCAAAGCATCGGAGAAGGCCAGCCACAGGAGGCCGATCGCTTGCACTTTCTGCGCAACAGTGATGAGCCGGTCACGCTAGAAAATCTTGTCCATCAGCTTGTGAATGCTGCCCCTCCTGAGTTCATTGCTCCTGGTGGCCGACACTAGCAGCGGTCGCGGCGAGGCGTGACATGTTTCACAGCAAGAGTTGATTCTCATCGTTCAGGCGTTTGCACCGGAATTGCTGCAGGTCACGGTGCCAGTTATGGCAGTGCCTGAGACGAGGCATGATTGAGATAACCCCCGAACTTTCGCGGAGCCGTTCACACATGTTCCCCCATGTTGCGCATGATTGTGAAAGCGTATTAGCTGGCCGATGCACAGAGGAGGCCTTGAGCCGCCCTGCATACCTAAGAGTTCCAGGTGCCCCTGATCCTCCCAAGATCTATGCGTCCGAAACGAGCGCTGTACCGTTTCAATCCTTTTTCAATGCAAGGACTGTCCGTGTTACCCAGGCGTTTGGGACACTTCCCACAAAAGAACCTCATAGGAACTAGTGTTACCGACGCCGTTTCAAGAATCCTATAGTGTCACCTCAGTGTTTGGGAAACTTCCATAGTGCTGCCAGTTCGTTTGGGGGAATTTCCAACATAAATGCGACATAGTGTTACTTGTGCCATGATGCAGAAGAACAGCAATCGACGGGAATCGTGAGCAATTGAGGTGTGTGAACTAAAGCAGCTTCCTCACACACTCAGACTGCCGGACTTTTGCTCATCTGGTTTTGGTAGAGGCCTGTCGAAGCGTGCCTGGGAGCCTCAACAGGAGGCCCGTCACCTGTTTTCTGCAGCCGACGGCGTAATTTCTTAGTGGTTCTCATGTAGATGACCCATTCAGAGCAGAAGAAGCATGAGGCGTCTCCGATGCTTCGTCTGGCGCTTTATGGAACAAGGAGGGCCTTCGAGAAGCAGGTGCTTGGCCATGATAAATGCACATGACGAGAAGCTGAGACATTGCTCCATGCAGCATACCGGGAGTGTTTGCCTGGTTGTTATCTTGCGGCTGTTTCTGATATTCATGTTGCACTGTCTTAATCTGTTCAGGTTCTACTTCCAGACGAAGGCGAGCTCGGCTCAAGTGTATTGTGAAGGCAACCACAGCAGAAATCCAAGACTGGAGAGTCCGTTCGCAGCCTGTCACCCGAGGCAATTCCACGTGTCCACGGCCTCGGCGCAACGACTCCTGTCGCAGCTTCAGAGCCCAGGCGACACCCCCAATGTAGAAGTCATGAGATCAACTGAACATAAGTTTCTGCATGTTCGTAGCAGGCATAGATTGCACGGCCGGGCCATCTATGCCCTGGCTCCTGTTCCGCTGGGTGTGACTCCCAGCGAGGGCTTTTCAGCTTCGAAGGAAAGCTACTTGTAGTACGAATGCTTGTTCATAGTTGTTTCGGGATGGCTGGGGCCAGGTCGGAGAAGAAGGGGGTCAGGTGCCGATATGGTCCACAGCCGCGGCGGAAACCATAACCTAGGCCGACCTGCTTTCATTGATACCGAGGTTGTAGGTAGTACGTTGAATATACTTTCACATGTGATGAACCATGTTTCGGACCCGCAGCTGCCGGCAAGTTCAAAGTAACTTGAGAGGCCGATGGTTACCATTTGCCACGTGAGGGCTCTGAGGCTCGTGCCGTAACGAGATCCCAAGGAACACGGAAGTCGAGCATGCGATATGAGGACATCTGCAAGTCATGAAACCAGCCGCTCGCGCGACGCTTCTGCTATGGCGGTCGAGGGCGCTTGGCTGAGGTGAAGAATTGCTGCGGACTTGGAGGCGGAAGCGATGCGTTTGAAAGCATTATTTGTAAGTACGGTTTCGGTTTCATGCTAGGCTACGCCCTGGGCTTGACCGATTTCAGCCCACTCCGTTCCAGTATTGTTCGGACGCAAGATGCGGGCATGGTCTCGGGGCAGGTCGCGGCGCTATGGAGAAATTGAACCAGGAGTACCTGGCCGTGGCTCGGCACCGCCCTTTTAGGCATCAGCCGAACCGAGCACCGCTCTTGCCGCTCAGGCACGCTTTGCTGCAGTAAGTCTGCACCTGGCCTTGACAGTCAACGCCCAGTCCTCGGCTTCACGAGAACAAAGCAGCCCTCACTTCGCTTCTAGGCGGTGACTGCAGGTTCTACAGGCTCGGCCGGATCACATCCTTGCAGCCCTGAGTGGCTCCTGTGTGCAGCAGGCGCCAAACCATAAAGGCTTGTCACATGCTGTCAACCTCCTGTCCGCAGTGCAAGTTGCAGTCGAGGAGGGCAGTTAAAGACATGCGAGATTGCGAGTCCGCCTTGGAAGTCTTCTCCTCCCACCCACCGCCACGTTCATGTCTCTGCCCATGCCGTCTGCACAGATCTCAGGCACTCCGGATGCCAGCAGCTTGTCGCCAGGCAGTGTTAGCTCGAACTTACGCAGTGGACATAGTAGTGCAAGAGTCCTGGTCACACGGCAAGCAAACAACTTCTTCGTGTCTTGATCCAGGGCAACTGCGTCATCTTGGATGAGTTATCTGCAGGCTGCCGCGACTCCTGGCAGGCCGAGCATTCTAAATCGCACTGAGTCCTCCGTCCACCTCCGGCTCCCTGCGCTGATAGCTTGGCCTTCTGTAGCCATGCGTAGCCAGTGGCCGGGCTGTGCAGGCCTCGGAGTCCATCTTTTACAGGGAGCTGCCGCTGGCACGCAAACAATCCAGGTCGCACCGTTGCAGCCGAATCCGTTTCGATGCTTCCTGAACCGAGTTCTGCTTCCATTGCCTTCCTGGTTGTGGAGCTTGTCTCAATGCTGACTGCAGTCCATTGCTCACAGCAGGAGGCAGTTGTGTCATCCTCGCAGCTGAAGGAGGTGTGCAAATGCCGACCGATTCAGTGGATGCACAGGCACTGAACTTCTTCGGTGCGATGCTGCACTTGGGCGGTGCGCCGTCCCTGCTGTGACAGGGGAGTTGGTCTGCTCTTCTGCCCCGGAAAGCATGTAAGGCTCTTTGGTGCTAGTCTTGTTCTTGGTGATGCAGTTTCTGGGCTGCATCCACCGGACCAGGAGGACTTCGCAGTGTCCGTGTGGCAAGAATGTCCCATGCTTCCTGTGGAGCTAAGGGCTTCCTACGCCTATTTCCACGCCGTCTTTGCAGTCTGCTATGTGTTGCCCTTCCTGGGTGACTTGTCTGCTCTTCACGTCCCTTTGTCCTCTGCCGGCCCTCAGCCGAGCTGCGGAGGCGAGCTGAATACCTGGTTGGCCATCGTGCGCGGTGCCTATGTGAAGCGGTTTCCGCCGCCTGAGACCAGTAGCTGAGAAAAAAAAGCTGGCAAGCGCTTGTATGGGCTCAGGCATATTTTCTCTAAATGTATCGATATCCGAGCACAGACAAGTAAGCATGAGCCTCAGCCGCGGCAACATCCCGTGCTTTGGCTCGAAGAGGGTTGCAGGCCCCACAGACACCGTACCCACTGACCCACCACCCTTATCCTCACTAGTCGCCATGGCTGATCAGCTGACTGAGAACTTCTAATCGAAGGTCTAGTCGCATGTGGATCATCTGGTGGTACCATCACCACCGAGGCAGGGAACAAAAGAGAAGACTAACCGAGCTCGTTCCGCATCCTGCCACTCACGGAGCTGAGCATGTTGATCCCTGGGCCAGAATTCTGCCGAGGTTGGGCTACACGGTTACAGGACGTTTTCAACGAGGTGTGCCCTTGAGAGCAAGGCTCTGCACAATTGCTGCACCACGAAGTTAGCATGCTCGCTTGAAGTCGTGGGAGCCTTGGACTCTGGTCCTTGGGTCGATGCTGATGGCAATTCCACAATCGACCTTCCCGAGTTCTCTTCGTTGGGAGACCAGTCGTTCGCAGGGACACCGACACAGAGAAAGAGCTGATGGAGGCGTTCACGGTCTTTTTGTCCTCACGATGGAGACGGCCAAATCGGTGCCGCCAAACTTCGACAGGTGCTCATGAATCTGGGTCGACGACTCCGTTTTGCGAAGCTTCCTGTGTTTGTATCTTCCTGTGCTTGTACACCGGTGTCGTTTTCAGCCAGTGCTCAACGCCCAAGCATCACAAATCATCGTCGTTTTTCCACTCCAGGTTCTAGAGCTTCGCAAGCGAAAGACCCGCTCAGACCGACTGGACGCTCTTTGATGTTGATGGGCTTTTGGGGCCGTGAAATGGCATCGAAAGCAATGCCATCGACAAGCAGGCCCAGAGTTGTAAGTTGTATGTTGGCTCGTGAGCACGTGACCTGCCGAGCGAAACTACATCTTGGATCGTCACTGATGCGATGTGAAAATGCATGCATGCATGCATGCACGCATGGGCGGCAGCTGCCTGCGGTTGCAGTAGGCTTCTTGCATGGACGTGCGAACCCATTGCTGGCCCAGGCGGGTGTCCTTTCCTCAGACCCCGTGCAGAGAAAGGTGAGACTTCGCTTGGCCGCGCTGTGCGGGGCCCAGCCCACCCGAGCCTAGACGCGTGCTTGAGTTTTTTTTCCTCACGGCCGAGGCTAAGTTGTGTCTTACCGTTCGCTCATGTTACACACATGTTGGTTCCACTCGCGTGTCTTAGCTGTGCTGGGGCCGTGTCAGAATCTTCGGCTGAACCTGGAAGGTATCCGCACTGGAGCTTTTGTGTCACGGCCCTGGCAAGGCGATACGTCGAGAAAGCATGCAGTGCTTGTTTCAGCCGTGAACACCTCGTCGCCCTCTACGTAGGCAATCACCCGATGGATCCCGCTGGTTTCAAAGCAACGGCGAATCTTTCATCATTTTTCATCGTAACTTGACAAGACCATGTCAATGTGTCTTATCGGAAGGAGGGTTTGGTGATGTTTGGTGGGCCCTTGGGCAGTCTTCAGGATGCCCGTGTCACGATCCTTTCCTTGAAAGGACCCAAGTCAAATTTGCCAGCTGTGCTCACACGGCGGCCGTTTTAAGAATGGTCGACGTGCGTCTCTGCGGAACCCAAGGCTTTATGTTGGGAATCTGTCACGCTTAAGCCAGTGTTTGACTGGATGCAGGCCGCTGCGAACGCTCGAGACGCCACTGCTGCAGGTCCGACTGGAACTGATTTTTGAAAGAGCCAGCCCGGAAGTGACGGTGCTGCAGATTTCGATCAGCAGTTGCGTTGCTTGATGGGTATAGCTCTTGCCCTGAAGCCCCTTCACACATCTCGGCAGACTTTGCTGATGCCCGAGCCGGCAACGTCGATGGGCTACGGCCTAAGGCGTGCTCTCACGGCAGAAAACGGGGTGCCCAGGTCCGATTAGAGATACTGAGAACAAAAAAGGTTACTCCGAGTCTTCCGAGGCTTTGGGCTTCTGACGTTGGATCAGGGCCGCTGTTTGCTCTGCCTCCTTGAGGACGAGGCCCTCGCACAGGAGGCCCGGAATGTTGTCGAGAGGGCTTAGGCCCTTTTGAGGAATTTGAGGGATCAGTCGCGAGGTGCCGCTGGTCGGGGTTTGGGTCGACCAAAGGCACGAGACGCACAAGGCCGGCCTGAGCCCGCCGACATCCGTGCAGTGTAGCCGATGAAAACCGAGAGTTGTTTCGTCCAGGATCCACAGAGCCCCGAGTGTTCCCCAGCTGCCTGGGCAGCGGCTGCTCATTTCGTCAAGCGGAGGTTCGCCACCTAAGCATGTAGAAGGTTCCCGACAAGGGGTCGCAGAGATGCATGCTGGTTCCACACCGCACCAGACCGAGGCAAGCCAGGGAGAAAGTTCCGGGCTGAGCAATGAAGGAAGGCCGTGTAAGGTCAGGTCTCTGAGTTGTCCGTCATCGCAGCTCCTCGAAGGAGTTGTTGGCTCATGCCTGACACTCGCCACTGCCAGGTTTGGGTTGAGAAGGATACCTTTCTTGTCATGTCAGTCGTCCAAACCAGGCCGTATTCTTGAGCTTCGGAAGCGTGTCTTGCTTAAGCCCGAATCCCACTCCTAAGCTTCACGAAAGTTTCCGCCAGGGCCACGCCGGCAAGCTCTCGATCAACGCAGTTGTTGCTGCTCGGTGGAATATGTGGCACAAACGGAAGGTATCTTAGACTCACATGGCTAAGGTTCTCAGAATTTCGCTTTGAGGATGTCCCTGGCGAAGAGGACTGGCAGTGCTCAGCGAAATTGCATCCTGACAGAAGCTCGGAATCCGATGTCGGTTTTTCAGCTGAGCCCCGCGACAGATCCGCACTCAGCACAGCACTGACTCAACACGTATTGCCAGGGGCTGCACCTTGCGTCCGTGGATTTCGACGAGGACCAGGTCTCATCAGATCAGCTGCTAGTGAGGAGCAGCTGTCGGTGTGTGGTTGCTAAATACAGTATAATACAGTATGCAGAGATGCTTGTCAGAGACTGGGCCGGCTCTCGTCGGTGAAACCGGCCTGTTTGCCCCCAAGCCTTCTTCAACATTGGCGAGGCTGGTCGAAGTGCCGAGTTGATGTTCCTGGACACCTTTACGGCCGCTTGGGGGCAGTCAACGCGGCTCTGTAGCATTCTGTAGCTGGGTTTGTGATGCTGGGAACATGTTCTGTAAAATTCGACAGGAGATGCTGGCTTTGTGTGACTATCCCTGCTTGAAGATATGCAACGCTAGTACGGTCTTCGGCATGTTTGAGTGGGCTGCAGAAAGGTGCCACACATAATGCGCACATGGATACAAGCTGGAGTTCTCACCAAGAGTTTAGGTTCTGACCGGGCGCAGTTCTGCAGTATCAAGGAGGGACATGCCTTCCACGTTGATGCCATGTGTTCTGCGCCTGAAGAGGGTCTCCCTGCCCTACTCACGCGGCGGCATGTTGATGAAATGTTCGTTGATACCTGGGCGTTTTAGCCTTCATTTTGTTTTCTGGAATAGTCATGGGGCAGCAGGTTTTTATGAGTTCAACTTGAGTCCAAGCAACTACCACAGGCAAGAAAACGCGGGGATGATGCCGCGAAGAGCTTCCTGAGAGATTCCGAGGGAGCGAAGTGTGACCGCATCCATGCCCATGTTTCCAATGTGAAGCTGCCTCACGACGATGTCAGATTGTGGAGGCAAGTCTATTTTGGTGATGGAGTGGAGTATTTCAGCCGCACTCGACAGCAGTGGATACCTGCCTTGATCAAATCAGACGTCAAGCACTCTGAGGATGGCAGCCTATGCCTGGATCTGAATTCGCGATCGGCTGTGCCTCTCAGGGAGATTCGATTGAAAGATGAGCACCGGTTGAACCCACGATTGCTGCAGAACCTTCACCCTGGTGATGCGGTGGAGGTGTTCGACGTGGAGCAAAGCCAGTGGTTGTGCGCGCACGTTCTGCAGCCGCCAGAGGGCGATCACATCCACTTGACACTTATTCCAGAGGCAACTTCTGCAGCGTGCTCTCAGACGCAGGTAGACCAGACTTCGATTGGCTTTGTCTCGCCAGACGAGCTCGTACAGGTGCTGCTGCAAGGTGACATTCGGCTGGTGAGGGGAGAATTCCTTGAACACCTTGTCTCACAGGGCCGAGCCTTCCCGAGAAGGCAAGAAGCTGAAATGGCACTCGCTCCATCAGGAAAGACAGCTTTGGTGTCATGGGGGGAGATACAGAGGGAGGCATGCCTTCCTCTTGCAGACAGGCAGACCGACATCGTTTGCGTCAGCCATTGCTGGGAATCTCGCGAGCATCCAGACCCGTTCCGGTATCAGCTGGAAGAGATAGCACGCTGCCCTCGCCTGCGACAGTCCTGGTTCTTTATCGATTATATGTGCTTGTATCAGTATCCTCGGACCATTGACCAACAGACTTCCTTCAAGCTGGCGCTGGATCACATACATTTGCTATACTCGCACGATTGTACAAACACGATGTTCATTGATGAACTTACCCCGGAGATCAAGGAGCAGCGCTGTGAAGAATCCGTGGAAGTTTTCTGCGAGTCCAGTGGCCAGTTGGACTGGGTCAAGCTTGCGGAGCCCGCGGAGCTGATAGACAAGGAAGGCCAGAGCTCGCCCAAAATGTTAGTCATGAACCAGACTCCCTATGTCCAACGCGGCTGGTGCGTGGCAGAACAAGAATGGTCGGCAACCCGGAATTCCATGTCTAAACCTCCAACTCGTCCAGAAGACTTCGAGCGCAAGGCTGCAAATGGGCACCTGAAGTTCACGCATAGATCAGACCTCGACTTGGTCCTGAAGTTGCAGAAGCTTGTGTTCCTGCAAAAGATCACCAACTGCACTTGCTACTTCTACAGTGACAGCGTGTGGGACACGCATGTCTCCGTGTTCGTTGGCATCCTGCCCTGCTTTGTCAGCTTGAGGGAATTGAGGATATCTGTTGTGGATCTTTCGAAAGACTTCCACGAGGAGAATCTGGCTATTGCCCTGGCCAACCTGCCCATGCTTGAAAAGTTGGACTTGTACTGCATCTTGACCAAGCAAAGAGGCGTTTTCCTTGCGAAGGCTTTGAAGAATATGAAGCTGAGAGTGTTGTCCTTGCAGCACTGTAGCCTTGATGATACAGGCTATGCTGCTCTGGCAGAGTCTTTAGAAACTCATCCAACCTTGAAGTTTCTGCTTGCAGGAAATAATCCGAGAGTTCGGTCATATTGTTTTGGCGGCCCAGGGCCAGAGATTCTCCGGTTGACGAAGCACATGATGTCCGCAAATGTGACTGCAAAGTTAGCAGCAGCGCTACACTGCAACAGCAGCTTGGAAAGAGTGCTCCTAACAGACCGCTTCATGGGACGCAGTCGCGAGGAAATCCTTGGCTTGTTCATGGACAACCGGTGCTCCAAGATTTCCTTGATATCACGTAAGTTAAGCTTAAAATTACGTCAACTAAGATCAAAATACTCGTTATGTTTTGGTGAACCAAAGTCTAATGATACTAAGACTACAATTGGCAATTGGGAATTCAGGTACAGTGTAGGGTACAATGGAGGAATCAATGTGACAGTCGAACTTTGCCGCAACTTGCACGAAAGGGAGCATCTGTACAGTTTGGAAGCAGCCTGGAGAATCCCAATCTGATGACATGCTGCTGTGTTCGTTCGGCTGGGGAAGAGCCTCCCAACGAGGCCTGCTCTCCGTCCTCTTCTGCTTCTTGAATTGGCCTGAAGTCGAATTGCTACACGAATCACCATCCGGAAGAATACGTGCACGACATCTACCTGTAGACGTGCAGCTCCACGCACTCATGTCCCCCGCGTGAATGTGCAAATCTCGCATCTAAAGTTGGGGATCCTTCATATCCATGATCCTCTGCAGTACAGCAGATGCTCCGATTCGCGCCCAGGGAAGTCCTACGTAATATGCTACAAATGTGGCAAGCAGGTTCAGTAAAAACAGAGCCTACCAAACATAACCCACTAATCCGATGCTTTTACGACACAGAGGAGCATCTACCGAGTCTCCAAGAATGCTGGTATCCCTCGAAGCAGGGCTTATCAGGGATCTTCACCGGAACTGAGACTGAGCTGAAAGGAGAGCGAGATGAAGGGGAGTTTAGGGGTTCGGGTACAGTTCAAGAGTTGCGATCGCTGGTGAGAGGTGGGGGGGTGGGGGGGGGGG